CTATGTTCTCAACCGTCTTCAGGTAAAGCCTCATATCCTATCTATCTTTTTCTTCATTCACAGAATTCTTGAAGTTCTATGTTTCTTTCAATAATTTTTTTTTGAGCATTGGAGAAATGAAGCATGCTTTTTGGTGTTACCACACAATCCTTCATGAAAACCCTCTTTAAAGCTTATATCACATCATTTAAGGTTTAAATAAACCGCATTTGTGTTAGATTCATTGTTGGACCTTGTAGCGTGCCAAAAAAGATATTGTAGTGACTATCCTGGTCCTTCCATTTTAAGGTGGCTAAACAAGTGCTAAAAGCATCAAAGACGCCACAAAACCGTAAGCTAGGGGTCATTTGTTTGAAATTTTCCTTTCTCGGAACAGCGGGAAAGAGTAATAGTTGAGTTGGTCTTGATGCTCAAGAAATGGCAATGTGTCAACCGTAGTGTGAGATTTATTATTCATCTGATGAATCATTTACCAACTTCAGGGCATAGTAGATCTGGCATTTTCAAAGCCCCATTCTCCGACGAGCCATTGTTTTTGTCTTCAAATTCCGGCTGGCCGCCAGCAAAAGGCAAGCCCCCCTCCAATTTCTAATGGAAACTTGCCGCCACAAGCAAAACAGGGTCGAGGAAAATGCACGACTGCAGCAATGCTCTTAGAGATGATCAAAGACGTGGAGACAGCAATTTCCTGTCGAAAGGGACGAACGGGCACTGCAGCAGGGGATGTAGCCTTTCCTAAAGGAAAAGAGAACCTGGCATCCGTCCTCAAGCGCTATAAACGTCGATTATCCAATAAGCCGGTAGGAAACCAGGAGGTGGCTGGAGTCGCCGGACCGCGCAAAGTAACGCTGTCTGCCTCATCACCCCCTTTCGTCTTGTAACGCTCTTTTCTCAGTTCATAGCAAATGACTGGTGAGATCACCATTGTTAGACTTGTTCTTAGTTTCTGTGAATTATCCCCCCCTCCCCAACTATACCTCCCTTGCACCTCATGTGTATTTTGAATCTTTGCAGCTTATTCACCCCCATCCCTTGTACCTCAATCTGTATACATAGGATAAAATGTTGTAACGAGGTTACTGTAAAACTGCAATGGTGAAATGAAACGGGCTAAAAGGCGGGAAAAGATGTTATTACAAGATATGCAGTTTTCTTGCTTTTTGTTTCCATAGTGCCATCTTGAACCAATGGAAACAACCTCTACCTCTGAATTACTTTTAATATCAAAAGGTTGTTGTTATATTACTACTTTCCTTGATCCGAGGGTCTATCAGAAACCACCTCGTCCTCTAAGCTCTGAGGTAGGCATAAGAAACCACTTGGTCCTCTAGTTCCGAGGTAAGCGTAAGTTAAACGTTTCAAACTCATTATGTGGGACTACACGGGGTATGTGTTGTGTTGTAGTTTGCACTTTATTGCGCAAGAGGGGAAAGTGCTACGTAATAGGTGTTTTTCTTACTTAGGGTTTGAGCTCGTCACATTTTATTTAACTAAAGATTCTTAGTGATTCCATCGCAACTCATTATTGGTTGTTAGAGGAGAATAATACTTCTCTCGACATAATATGAGAAACTTTGTGTTCTCAAAATATGTAAATAACTTTTGTGTGATTAATTTTTTGTGACATAATATGAGAAACTTTGTGTTCTCAAAATATGTAAATAACTTTTTGTGATTAATTTTTTGTTTTTTTTTAGATTTGTGACCTAATTGCAATAAAAGGAGTATAAAGATCAAAAAGGATGAATGTGAATGGCTAGAAGAGGACAACCATATTCCAATAAAAAAACTCTTTATCCTTATCTTTAGTTGAAATTATTGTCATCGTTATAGGTTCAATAAAAATTTAATTATTAATTTTTTGTAAACATATATAAATAATCTATTTTGAAAAAATAGTACTACATTATTCCCTCTTATATTTCAAATTTCATAAATAACACAATAGACTGTGATTTAGTGGTTGATATTGAGTCAAATTTTTTTATTGAAATTTAATTAATCGAATCGATAAATTTTATTTCGAAAGAAAAAGTTAAATGAATTGTGGTCTATCATCACACACGTAGAATAAAGTTGGTGTCTTTTTCATTCTTCTTTCTATTGCATTATATCACTCTCCACTTATCTTTTCTTTCTTACGAAGTTTCTAAACATTTGCTTAACTTCTCTTTTCCCATTCTATTTATGTGAGTTTTAGCTTTGATTTATTGACAACAAAGATCAATTACAAGTTTTGGTAGATAAAGAGGTACGTATTTCTATCGAATTTTATGTACTTTAGCATGTATAATTCAACTAAAATAGAAGAATAAAAAGAAATAATTAACTACATTTTAATACAATGAAATTTAAATATCGATTATTGATCTGATTTGAGTATTAGATAAGCAATTAATCCATTTCTATTGTTTCCTCATGCACTTTTGTGTCACAATCTTTTTTTTTTTTTTACGTTCAATTCCCTTTTTTACTTAACGCTAAATAATTAAGATTGTTTGAATTCGTATGATTAGTAAATATTTGATAAAATATATTTAAAAATAAATTGTGATAGAACTTAATAACGTTTGGTGAGTGATTATTGTGTTTGATTGTGCATATGTGGACCAAAGGTGATGTTTGAATAGTCATAATCAATAATAGAGGTGATTATTTTATATCGATCAATATTTATGGTAAAATAATAAAAATTAATAATAATTGATAGTCGACATGATTAACTATAGTGACAATCGATAGTAAAAATCATTAATGATGAAGGTGATTGATACTAGCAATACAGTTAGTTAAATTAACTCTCGTTAAATTGAAAAATCACTTAAATTAAAACATAGTAAATAAATTAAGAAACTAATTAAATTGATTTATTGATAAAATTTATTTTTTGTGTCAATGCAGGAGGGCTAAAGAGAAATATATAGAAGATGTATGTAATAGTGATTTCATTGCCTTTGATTATATTGGTATTGATTGTAGCCATTGTTTGTTACATGTGTGGAAGATCAAGGGGTTGTTGCTGAATAAATTTCACTCCAAAATATTCTATTAATCGATGAAGCTAGAAGTCTGAATACAAATTTAAATATATTTATTTAAATCATATAGTAAATTTGTTATATTTGGGTTTTAATTATAGAACTCAAGCTAACACTATATTATATTTTCACTTCTTTCTTGAATTTGTATTTATGAAAGTACGATACGATTGAAATTAAATTAATCGAGTCAATAAATTTCATATCGAGAGCGCGATTGTCATGACATGACAAGGAAGGAACCTCGTCTAAACTCATACACGTAGAAAGTTGAAACCACTTCGTGTCACTTTATGATATTTTGTTATTTTTATTTTTTATTCTTTTAATTTGCTTATATCATATGAACTCTCCATTTTTTTTCTTTTGTCTTACTAAAAAAAAATAAAATTCTCAAACTCTTATTTTTCCCTTTTTATTTATGTGAGTTTTAAAATTTAAAAAGAAAAAGTTCACTCTAAGTAGTTTTGATACTAGACAAGGTATGTACATATTTTCTTAATTTTTATTATGGTATGTAAAATTAATTTTGAGCTTACCTTACAATTGATTTAAAATTAATTAAAAAAAATTATTTTTGTGTTAATGCAGGGATATATCATATAATTAAAAAAAAAATGCATGTACTAGTGATATCATTGCCTTTGGCTATATTGGTATTGATTTTAATAGCCATTGCTTGTTACTTCTTTGGAAAATCAAAAGGTAAATGGGGATTATATTATTCAAAATAATTCCTAATAAAAAATAAAATAAAATGGAACCCTTTTAATTTTGTTCAATGAACTTTTTTTTTTTTTTATATATATATCTTGTTGTATCATGTATATTTAATAGAATGAAATATTACTTTTAAGTGTTGTTATATGATATTGTAATGTTTTTTAGAATGCGTACGTATATAAATTGTTGAATTGAAAATCGAGCATTACATTTTATCGCGCATATTATTATATTTATCGTGTTGAATTTGGGCTCTAATATCAAATTATTAGGTTGAATGCCTTTAAGAATTATTTTTAATATATAATATGAGATTATTTAGTTTCAAAGTTAATTTTTTTACATGATTTTAAATTTTCTTTCGAAATATCATTATGTGATTCTTATATTTTATTTATGTTTCGAATCTACTCAAAGTTATTAATATTAATATAAAATTTTAATCGCTCAACGTTAGAAGGAACACTCCTGAAAAAAAGAATTTAAGTCTTGACGTATCCCTAGAAATTATTATAATTTCTTCGTTTGAAATTATTTTTGTCGTTGCGCTTATTGAAAGTTAATTTTTTTATATTTAAAATTAAATTTAGAGCACGTTAATTTGATATTTTAAATAAAAAAAATTAGATATTTTAAAATTATGTGAAAAATAATATATAATTTATAATTTTTTTTCATATTAAGATGATGAAAGTCAAATTTTTGTAGTTTAACTCTAAAAAATAGAAATCATGATAAATAATATCGAACGAAGGGAGTAAAAGATATCAGCATAGTAGATGATGTTGTAATTTTAATCAAATTTTAACACGAATAATCGAATACGAAGTAGGAAAGCAAAAAAAAAATTAGGTATAACTGGGGGGTATGTGGTTGGGGGTTGGAAAAAACGCAACCCTTTAAACCAAGTATTGATGCTTTAAATGAGTTGTCTTTACTTTACTTCCTTTTTAGTAAACAAAGAAGTATTTGATCTTACTTTTAAATAGTCGTGATTTTTATTTTTAGAATTAAATTTTGATTAATTATTTATGATATATTTTCTTTAATTATAGTGGTACGAAAAAAGTTACAAATATTTTTCGTATAATTTTTAAATACATATATTTTAAAAATATTATATTAATTATTAAAAAAGACAATTAAAAGGGTACGAAATATAATTTATAAAAATCAACAAAAATAAAAAGCTGTCAATCACTTGTATTAAAAGCCTTTATATTCAGACACGTCATCATCTTTATCATTATGTTTTTTTTAAAAAAACAACCTGGGCACTGCAAAACACCTAAAAAGTAAAAAAAAAGCACCAAAATCCTAAATCCAATGTTCTTTTTCAGAGTTTAAAGAGTGAAGAAATTAAAGTTCTGTTTTAGTTTCAGTTTCAGTACGAGGTGATCATCCATCAGTTTATGAATTTTTTGGTGTTGTCAGAACAAGGTATGTTTACTTTTCTAATTTATTTTTTGGTTATCGGTTATAAAATTATATCGAATATATTATTATTGTTTTGTTTGCTCATCTTGTATTTTTATTTACTCCATATTCCCTTACCTTCCTGTGATGGGTGATGATCTCCCGTGTTTGATTAGTTTAGATTCGAGTGATTTATACAAATAGAATAGATTTGAACTCGAACTTGAACTTGAGATTCACAATTCGATGATAGGTGATAAGTTTTTACGGATCACCAGATTTTTTTTATTTTTTTTTTTTACGATCCATAGGTGAAGATTAAGAAATATTTTGAAACAAATTGTTTACAAGTTTTGATGAATCAGTTGTGCGTAACCAACTTTTGCCAATGAAATTTCAATACAATATCAAGTGTTTGATTCATTGATTTTTCACGTTATATTGTGTTAGGTTTAAAATTTTATAAAAATATTCTTTTCGATTATATCCTTGAATTAATTTTAGGCTTGTTTAATCGAGAAATAGGATGTTCGTTTACTGATCCTTAAGACTCGAGGAGTAGTTCAATCATTTTATTGCTTAAGAGCCCATTTGGATTGATTTTAAACAGTAGTAACTTAAAATAAAAGTTGAACTGAAATAATTTTCAACTCAAAAAAAAAAGAGTAGGATAGATCTACTTTTGATTTTTGACTTATTTTAAGTTTTTTTTATTTGTCACACATTTTCAAAAAGTCAAAAACTGACTGAAGATTAAATTTAATCGATTTTTCAGTTAATCCAAATGGGCTCTAAGTCTGGTATTAGTAATCCCTAGCTATAGTAGGTATTCAACAAGACCATATAAAGAAATTCCAAGTACATCATGTTGGAGTTTTAGATTTAACAATTTTGAAATTACTTCAAAGTTTTTCCTCGTCTTAACTATACTTTTTATTTTAAATTTTGCTTACATATTAAAAATCTACTAAATCAAAAAATTTTGAAAATCGATAAAATCCACTCTCTTCCTTTTCATAGACATGAGAAGAAATTTGTCGATTGGACTGAACCTCAGTTGTAATTGGGCTCTAATATACACCCCACTTAGTAAGGTTGAAAGTTTATTTCAATAATTACATAATTCGTGCGAGATTAATTTTGAATACATGTATTTGACACGTTGGATTTTCATGTATCTCAGATATATGTGCGTTAAATTTGCACTATTTTTGGTAGTTTAAGATCATCATTAACGCCTATTTATGATTTTTAAAATCCAAACAGATTTTTTATTTGTATCGTTAGTGCATATAACTTAGGCATTAAAAGTCGTTTATTTTAACGTGTGCACACATTATAATTTTGGCAGGAAGTTAATTTAAAGCCTTTAGGGTTGAAGAAAAACTTGAATCAATGGGTTTTGTGATTGTAATATCACTACCATTGATTCTCTTCATCCTCATTGCAGCCCTTGCTTGTTACCTCTTTGGTAAGTCTCGAGGCCGTCGAGAAGCCGCCATGGTTCCACCATATTATGGACCACCACCACCAGCACCTCCTCCCGGAGTCCTTTCTCCGCCACCCCAAAAATAACATTTGTAAATGTCATGTAGTTAAAATTTGAGCAATACCTTTGTTTGTTTATTTGGGCAAAATGATTGTTATAAAGGCCAAAAGTGAATATTAATGCTTCTTTTTATGTCATACAAAGAAATAAAAGCATATTCCTAACAAACAGCCCCAAATTAAAGGATACAAGTTCATAACATATCTAGAAATTCACCATAAGGTAAAATACTGAATTTGGAACATAGCACTTCAAAAATTAAACACCTAGCAGATTGGAATAGGAGCACCATTCCAGTTCTTGAGACATTCCAACAATGGATCAATGATCTCTCCATTGCATATTGCTGTGAACACCTTTTCAATATCCTCACCGGGCGATCGAACTTTTTCACCTGTCAACAGTTCTGTTCCAAGTTGTTGTCTCACCAACTTGTACAATGGATATGATCTGCATTCTGTGATTCTGTTAGGAATTGCAGGGTTGCCACTTTCAACAACAGCTCTTGCATTCTCAACTTCTTTAGGTAACACAGCCTTCAATTCGTCCTCGAAAGCTACAATCTTTTGGAAGATTGAGCTGTTCACATTCTTCTCATTCTTCATAGCATGATCAACAAGGACTTGTCTCAGCTTCTGGATCAAAGGGTAAGTGGAGTTGCAAGGATCATCAACATAGGCAAACAGGTATTCCCTGTCCACAACTTGTGGCAATTCCTTTTCGCAGAATCTTGCTGGATGAAGTTCACCATTAGCACCTACTGTCAAAGTTCTTTTAGCTACTTGACTCACTGTATTCTTGACCGCATTGCTCAAGTTCTCCTCCAAATGCCTCAAGTCGATAGCTTGGCAAAGCGCCACGAGATAGGTTGATGACATTAGCTTCAAGATGTCAACAGCCTCAGCTGTTTTCCTTGCTGAGATTAAGCCCAACGAATTCACATCTTGGTTGTGTTGCTCGGCACTTTGGACGTGGTTAGTCACCGGATTTGCAAGGAATTGAAGTTCCGAGCAGTAAGAAGCCATCGCGATTTCAGCTCCCTTGAAACCATAATCCAAGCTTGGATTCCTTCCTGCTGAGAGATTAGATGGCAATCCATTGTTGTAATAGTCGTTGACAAGCTCCGATAATTGGGCAAACATCAATTTCCCTATTGATGCAAGGGCTAATCTTGTATTATCCATGGAGACACCAATAGGGGTTCCTTGGAAGTTTCCACCATGCAACGCCTTGTTTCTTGAAACATCGATCAATGGATTGTCGTTCACTGAGTTAATCTCTCTCTCAATCATCTTAGTTGCTACGCGGATGACTTCAATTTGAGGGCCAAGCCACTGTGGAGATGTTCGAAGAGCATAACGATCTTGCTTTGGTTTTTGAAGAGGATCCATTTCATGGAGCTTCTGAGCTGCCTTGACATAAGAGCTTCCATCCAAAATGTGTTCCATAATAGCAGCAGCCTCAATCTGGCCAGGGTGATGCTTCAACTTGTGTGTCAAATAGTCAGTGAATTCAGGCTTTCCATTCATCACTTCAGCGAAAATCGCTGATAAAACTTCAGACATGACAACAAGAATGTTGGACTCAAACAGTACCATTGATGCCATACCAGAACCAACTGCAGTACCATTCACAAGTGCAAGTCCTTCCTTAGGCTGCAACTCGAAAAATCCACTAGTAACACCAGCCACGCGGAACGCTTCCTCAGCATTAAGTTTCTCACCATTAGGTCCAACAGCCTTGGAGTTAGGCCTGCCAGTGAGCAAACCAGCAATGTATGACAACGGGACAAGATCACCCGATGCAGTGATCGTCCCACGAAGGGGCAAACACGGGGTAATGTTGCTGTTGATCAACTTAGTAATTGCTTCCAAAATTTCAAATCTAATGCCAGAGTAGCCTTGAAGCAGAGTATTGATCCTAACAAGCATAGCTGCCCTTGTTGCTGAATGTGGCAAAGTATGAGATGATTCTGTTCCATTCCCCAACACTCCAGCATTCAAGAACCTGAAAAAATCAATGTCATCAAGATTAGATTTCGAACTAAATTCATCCGAAACTCCTTCTGGAAAAATCACATTATAAATGTGAGTCGATAAGCTATATATACGAAAAATATAAAAATTCTTTACGTTGTGAGTGTATATATAACGGGGAAAAAGTAGTTTACCTAATAAGGTCTTTTTGAAGAGCACTACCATTTGTTGTTCTTCTATGAGACGTGTCACCAAATCCAGTAGTCACACCATAACTATCTGTACCTTTGCTCATACTATCCATTACCCAATCACTACTAGCTTTCACACCAGCCCTTGAGCTTTCAGAAAGTTCTACTTTAACCCCATTACTTTTGTTATCAACATTTGCAATGGATGCAACTTGTGCAATTGTCAAAGTTTCACCCCCAAGTTTCACAATTGGCTTTCTAAATTCATCCACCATCTTTTTCACTTCATCCAAATGACTCCCTCTTAATGATTCAGCAGCCATTTCCCAATTCAATGGATCATTAACAATAATTGATTTCTTGCATAAATCCATGGCTACAACTTTTCCATTAGCATGTCCATTTGGTACAATTGATGCCATTAGATCAAGAAAATGGCTAGATTTGTAATGGAGAAATTTTAATTAGGAGAAAATGATGTTGTGAACTTATAATTTTTGTTGTTGTTTTGGTGGTGAGTATAAACAGAGAGTAACAAATGATGGTTAGGTAAAAAAAAAAAGATATGTGAGGGGTGAGTTGGTAAAAAAATAATGGTCATAGGAAGATTAATAGAATTAAGGATAATAGAATTTAATAATTGAATTTTGTCTAAAAGAGGCAAATTTTGTTTATATTGATCAATATTATTAACTATAATATGTTTTTATTAAATTCTGATTTTTCTTTGAATGAGGCAAATTTTATTGATATTGGTCAACGTTATTAAGTGTAATACATTTTTATTAAATTCTAGATTTTGTCTTAAAGAGCAAATTTTATTTATATTGGTTAATATTATTAAGTATAATATATTTTTACTAAATATTTTGTCTGAATGAGGCAAATTTCATTTATATTGGTCAATATTATTAAGTGTAATATATTTTTACTAAGTTTTAAATTTTGTCTGAATGAGGCAAATTTCATTTATATTGGTCAATATTATTAAATATAATATACTTTTATTAAATTCTGAATTTTATTTGAAAGAGGCAAATTTTATTTATGTTGGTCAATATTATTAAGTATAATATATTTTTATTAAATTCTGAATTTTGTTTGAATGAGGAAAATTTTATTTATATTGGTCAATATTATTAAGTATAATATATTTTTATTAAATTCCAGATTTTATCTGAAGAGGCAAATTTTATTTATATTGGTCAATACTTAATATCTGAAGAGGCAAATTTTATTTATATTGGTCAATACTATTAAGTATAATGTATTTTTATTAAATTTTGAATTTTGTATGAATGAGGAAATTTTTATTTATATTGGTCAATATTATTAAGTACAATGTATTTTTATTAAATTCTGAATTGTTTTGAATGAGCCAAATTTTATTTATATTGGTCAATATTATTAAGTATAATGTATTTTTATTAAATTTTGAATTGTTTTTGAATGAGCCAAATTTTATTTATATTGGTTTAAGTATAATATATATTCTATTAAATTCTAGAATTTTTTTTTAAAAAAGACAAATTTTATTTATATTTGTCAATATTATTAAGTATAACATATTTTTATTAAATTTTGAGTTTTGCCTGAAAGATACAAATTTATTTATGTTTGGTCAATATTATTAAGTATAATACATTTTTATTAAATTTTTGAATTTATCTGGAAGGAAACAAATTTTATTTATATTGGTCAATATTATTAAGTATAATATATTTCTATTAAATTCTGAATTTTGTTTGTGTCGAGCCCCAAAAAAGGGAAGAGTAACTGACACTTAAATAATCTATCTAATCGAGTTAGCCAGTGAAACATACTAGTTAACCAAACAGTAAGACAGAGATCAGCCAACACAACATCTGAAATGGGAAGCCTGGACCATGAAGGTATGACCTATATGACAATTACTCATACAAACAATGATAGACAAGTCAAAAAAACAAAGATGTACTAGCTAGCCGACAAGGCCGCAACTGAAGACAAATCTATTTACATATATATACGTACATACCAAGTCTATAGGCTAGAGATTGAAACATACAAGAAAATCCAGAATACTGTGTCCACAATACCCTCTAGGAATGACATAAGCAATGTCGGGACAAGAACTCGACTATGCTTAAATTGTACAACAAAAGTAAATATCCTCTAATAACTCAAAGATAAGATGGAGCTTACCAACTCACAGCTGAGCCCGAATTTTAGCGGTTGAGTCAATCAAAATACCTACCTGAATTTGCTCGCACGAAAAAAGCAACTTCCCCAGGCAATGGGACGTCAGTAAGAATAAAAATGTACTGATATGTAAAGCCGGAAGTGAAATCATCAATAACTAATATAAAAGGGTAAAAAGATATCATTTGAAACTGAAACTCAATTAATCTCCATGGCTAACATTTGGCCTCCTTCTATTTAAATATGCATGGTATGCTCATATAATCGTATGTCGTAAATACGTATATATAGATGCAAATGCATGACATACCCAACCAAATGCTAGCAATGGTTGTGCTTTCTAGTAGCTAACCGACAGTATATTCATCAACTTGTGTCTATCGGTATCACATACGTATAAATATAGGTAATAAGCCTCATACCTCCCGATTATACCTTAGGAGTAGAATGCATAACATGTCATGTCATGGATTCATACGCATATATATTACCGTTGTCATGTTGTCAATCTTGGCCCGTTTGTGTTCTTGATATCATAACCCCGTGTAATCACTTTCATATGTGTAACCATCTCATCGAACCTCATATGCTCTTCCAAATAAGCTAGAAAACTTGACTCGAGTTTTAAAAAGATAGCCTAACCTTGAAAATGTTCATAACAAGTTTAAGGTGATTTACTTAGTTCGTATATATACTTAGTTCTTAAATAATTTAAAAAGAATCAAGTGTTCTACTAATTTAATAATTTAAGTTATATTTGAGAGTTTTAAAGACCGTGAGTTACTTTAAAGAATTTTTAAAATAAATTTTAGTGGGGAAAAAGTGCTAACTACAAATAATAAGGGTCACCCGTAACATTTTTAAGTCACACCACCGAAGGAAGAATAAGAATTCATACATATGGACTTATAATACACGAAACCGATAAAATGACATATAGATTTCGAATACCCAATTTATTTGAACGAGTGAAATATTCAAATACTAGAATTATGTAAATAATTCAGCTATGATCCCAATGCCTTTCACATAAGGTCTTTCTAGCAAGAGAATAGCAAAATATCACATTTGACATTTAGAAATTTCCCAAATGTATTGTTAAAATAAGGCATGAAGCTTAGCCTTAACATACCTTTTCAATGAATGCTCGAATGCCCATAGTTCCCTCACAAAAGTTATTCCTTATGTCCTAAGCTTCGCAAACACAATATATACTTCTATAAACAATATTTAGAGTTCGGACTCCTGGATTAGATTCCAACAATTTCATTGGACTCAAGAGGCAATTTTAAGCCTAGGTGAGACCTATTGACCTTTGATAAGAGAGTGTGGAGGGCGAAGATTCAACTGAAACACTAGTATTCCGTAGCATTAATATCATTAATATTAAGAAATTGAACTATAATTAAGGCGATGTACTATTGTTTAAAGTTAGATTCACCAAAAATGAAGACACAAAGATATGTATTATAACCTGTAAAGTTGTAGAAATTGAATGAACATACAATTTAGAGATTATTATAATTGTAGTAATTCACTGAAAAAATAAGACTTGACAAACATCTAGCAGATTGGAAGAGGAGCACCATTCCAGCTCTTGAGACACTCCAACAATGGATCAATGATCTGTCCATTGCACATTGCTGTGAACACCTTGTCAATCTCCTCACCGGGTGATCGAACTTTTTCACCTGTCAAAAGTTCTGATCCAAGTTCTTGTCTCACCAACCTGTACAATGGATATGATCTGCATTCTGTGATCCTGTTAGGAATTGCAGGGTTGCCACTTTCAACAACAGCTCTTGCACTCTCAACTTCTTTAGGCAACGCGGCCTTCAATTCGTCCTCGAAAGCTACAATCTTTTGGAAGATTGAGCTGTTCACATTCTTCTCACTTTCACCATTCTTCATTGCATGATCAACAAGGACTTGTCTCAGCTTCTGCATCAAAGGGTAGGTGGAGCTGCAGGGATCATCAGCATAGGCAAACACGTATTCCCTGTCCACAACTCGAAGCAATTCCTTCTCGCAGAATCTTGCAGGATGAAGTTCACCATTAGCACCCATTGTCAAAGTTCTCTTAGCTACTTGGCTCACTGTGTTCTTGACAGCACTCCTCAAGTTTTCCTCCAAATGCCTTAAGTCGATAGCTTGGCAAAGCGCCACGAGATAGGTTGATGACATTAGCTTCAAGATGTCTACAGCCTCAGCGGTTTTCCTTGCTGAGATTAAGCCCAATGAATTCACATCTTGGTTGTGTTGCTCAGCACTTTGGACATGGTTAGTCACTGGATTTGCAAGGAATTGAAGTTCTGAGCAGTAAGAAGCCATTGCAATTTCAGCTCCCTTGAGTCCATAATCCAAGCTTGGATTCCTTCCTGCTGTGAGATTAGATGGCAACCCATTGTTGTAATAGTCGTTGACAAGTTCCGAAAATTGGGCAAACATCAATTTCCCAATAGATGCAAGGGCCAATCTTGTATTATCCATGGAGACACCAATAGGGGTACCTTGGAAGTTTCCACCGTGTAAGGCCTTGTTTCTTGAAACATCGATCAATGGGTTGTCGTTCACTGAGTTAATCTCTCTCTCAATCATCTTAGTTGCTGCACGGATGACTTCAATTTGAGGTCCAAGCCACTGTGGAGATGTTCGAAGAGCATAACGATCTTGCTTTGGTTTTTGAAGAGGATCCATTTCATGGAGCTTCTGAGCTGCCTTGACATAAGAGCTGCCATCCAAAATGTGTTCCATAATAGCAGCAGCCTCAATCTGGCCAGGGTGATGCTTCAACTTGTGTGTCAAATAGTCAGTGAATTCAGGCTTTCCGTTCATCACTTCAGCGAAAATCGCTGACAAGACTTCAGACATGACAGCAAGAATGTTGGACTCAAACAGTACCATTGATGCCATACCAGAACCAACTGCAGTACCATTCACAAGTGCAAGTCCTTCCTTAGGCTGCAACTCGAAAAATCCACTAGTAACACCAGCCACGCGGAACGCTTCCTCAGCATTAAGTTTCTCACCATTAGGTCCAACAGCCTTGGAGTTAGGCCTGCCAGTGAGCAAACCAGCAATGTATGACAACGGGACAAGATCACCCGATGCAGTGATCGTCCCACGAAGGGGCAAACACGGGGTAATGTTGCTGTTGATCAACTTAGTAATTGCTTCCAAAATTTCAAATCTAATGCCAGAGTAGCCTTGAAGCAGAGTATTGATCCTAACAAGCATAGCTGCCCTTGTTGCTGAA